CATCCAATATGTGTCCTGTACTAGCTAAATGGAGGAAATACAATTATGAGCAAAGTCAGACATAGTCGGTCATGGATTTTACAGAACATCAATTAGACATGACTCATTGGGCTTGAACAGATACAATGTCTTGGATATTGATAGAAAAATGATTAGTTTAAACATCTTACCACTTACCACTTCTTTCTCCCAAATTGCCCTCGAGGGAAGTTACCTCAAGCCTTGAAGAAGAAAATAATAGTGGATAACCATTATTTCTGTGCTTTAAAAGGCACAAAAATCCAAAGGAGCTAGCCAAATAAGCTACTTTTCAAGGGAAATGCTAAAGAATTGAGAGAAAAAACTTCCAAGTTAGTGGTCCATTGAAAGGTCATATTTATGGGTACAACCCAGCCACCAAGTGTTCATAGTATGAGTCTAGCACTAGACAAGAAGATACAAGCAACTTAAAACCCAGGGAAAGATGCCAAGTCGATGAATTGTCATTGCCAAATAGCTCGCACATGAAAAGTTAGTTAATATGGGTGATCATAATGCTCATAAAATAAAGCACTAGTGGAATGGTACAGTCAGGCTACAACGGAGAAGAGAAAGCTCCAGGAAAGAAGTTGGACCTAAAGATGGGCAAGAATTAGGTAGGTGGAGGTGTGGGCAAAGAATGATGGGAAAGCATCGTAGAGCATGGGAACATCAGAAATGATGGGATGAGAGACAACTGAAAATGTGTATTGATGACCATGAGCAGGAATCTGAGATTGACTTACTAAGCAGTCCATTTCTCTGAGTATAAATACATATTTGCAACATTCAAAGAGCAAATTCTGGTCTTAGGTTGCTCCTCCTTTTCCTTCCAGTTTTAGTGGCAGGACTAACCACTCAGGTGAGTGGAAATGTGCTGCCAACAACAAGATCCTCGGACCACAGCCAGCAGGGGCTGGAGGAAGCAAGTCTCTGTTCCTATCTGGCCTCCCAGCCCCCTATTTGCTGCCAGGTTTCCTGTCCTGACCTCAGGGCAGAGCCTATTCTTGTCAGGAAGCAGGGACCAGGATACTTGCTGCATCAGAAGAGAGATGACAGCTTCTGAGACATGATTAGTCAGGTACAGAGCTGAGAAGAGAGCCACGTGAGTGTCCTGGCAGTCACCGCAGAGGCACTTAGAAAATCGCTGCTCAGCGTCATTCATGGGCCTCCCTCACCCACAGTACCTCCTGAGCTCCATCTCTCTGCTAAGTAACCTCCACATCGACTTCCTTCCCCGAGTTCTTTCCTTGTTTTGTGAATCACATTAGGTTACACTGTGTTCCTTCATAGTCTATTAATATCTACATTTTGAGGATTCAAATGTACAAGATTATGTAATGGCCTATGAATCCTTACTCTTAACATCAGGCCAGTTGCAGCCTTATGGCATAGCACAGGGGCCTATAAACTATAGGCCACAAGCCAAGTAGGCTCCATCACCTATTTTTATAAATAGGGATTTATTGGACCACAGCCCATTTGTTTATGTATTGTCTGTGGCTATTTTCATGCTACAAAGGCAGAGTTGAGTGGCTGTGACAGAGACCATGTGGCCCACAAAGCCTACATTATTTATAACCTGGGCCTTTACATAACAAAACTGCTGACTATCTCAGCACAGGATCTATGTAATTGATCACAACATTGAGGTTCAAACTTTCCTGCTGAGGTCATGCAATCTCTCAAAATCTCAGTCATATCGTCTCAAAATGGGCAACAATAATGTTGCTTTGTCTACTTCATGACACTGTGCAAAGGAGCGAACGAAATAGCAGCTAAGTCTTTATAAATGTAAGCTTAGCCTTCGAGAGCCCTGAGTCCCACTGCAGCTCCACAGTAGCTCCAAGACACCGTCCTGCCCTCCCAGGCAGAGCTGACCCGAACTTCCAACTGGCTGGATTCTTTACTTTGGATGGGTTTTTGCTCCCTGCCAGTTACTACAAGAGCACTTCCAAAATGCCTCTGGCTCTGTCTTAGTCTCTCTAGTGTTTGGTTGTTTCTTTGGTTGATTGGTCAGCTTTTTTTTTTCAATTTGTCACTAAATTCACCACAAATTCAATGGAATTAAGCAAAGTCATTCCATCAGTAAGTAGCAAATATTTACATGAGAGAAAAACAGATGAAGACATCAAAAGAAGGTCAGTGTGGCTACATTGAATGAGTGGAAAAAACATATGCTCAGATGTTTGCAGCTGAATGAGAAGACTTTGAAGACAATGTCCAGAAGTTCCTATTTTAGTCCAAGAATGATGTACTAAGTAACTAGGCTAAAGCAGCAGGTGCAGGAAAGGATCTCATCTGCAAGGCAGAGGTCCCCAAGGGGCTGCCATTCTGTACGGGGTTTCCAACCAGGCTCCCCTAGACCCTGAGACCAGGCCTGAAAGTTACCTTTCATGGCCTCCCCACCTCTCACCCTCTGGTTTGCTCCATGATTAACAGCCTGGCTCTGGGCCTGACAGTAAGCTGTAGCTTCCAACTCAAAGGAAGCTCAGCAAGAATGACCTTGTTAAACTCACTCCACAGAGCATTGTGGATGTCAGTGAGCATCTCCTGGAGATTTATGGCCGTGAACCTGGTCTCCTGTTACTTGGTGATCCCACTGAACTTTCCATTGAGCAATAAGAGCTGGATAACAGCAGAACTGCTCAAGGTTAGCAGCCTTCTGAAGTCCACCCAGTTCCACAAAACTTCCTAATGGTATACAGAGGAGATTTATTGGGATGTTTTTGCAGGTCAGGAAATTGCTACATGATTTTGTCATTGACAAAGGAGCAAACGTCACTGCCCAGTTTCTGTTGGACTTTCTCCACCTAATTAGCTCTTGATCTAAAAATGATGAAAATAGTCTGATCCCTTGTTCACTTATCAGGTGGGAGGGCAACCCAAACAACATTCTAATTTCATTGTTTTCATTTCAGGGATTATTGATGGCAACTGCAGGGCATAGCTTATATTTGAATTTCCACTTGGTTTCCTGTTCTTGTGGGATTCATTTGAATTGCTACTAAGTTGGGCATTCAACATTTCTTTTATTATGCCTGCGAGGGAAAAACTACCAAACTACAATGAAGTAATTTTATTTTCACCATCTTTGTAGCTATGTCAGACCTATTGATCAAAACAGGTTTTCTATGCAGAAAGGAAGGCTGTAGATGTGGCAGTAACTTTAATCTTCATAAAGTATTTACTTTCCTTAAAATTAGGGAATTCTCAAAACTCTTGTATTTGTTCCAATACTATTTATGTCAATCCTGACATAAAAACAGTGAAATTGTATGAAGTGTGATGGTTAATTTTAATTGTCAACTTGATTGGCTTGGAGGCTTCCCAGGGAATTAATCAAAGGACACTTGTAAGTGTGTTTGAATGAATCATGGAAGCGTGACCTAAGAGTCTATGTCTGGCCCGTGGCCCCTTCTTCTCTAACACTGCTCCCCTGATCTGTGTCCTGGTTCCCATGAACTAAGCAACTTTATCCCATCATGCCCTTCTGCCGTGAGGTATCTGCCCTGGACTGACTCCCCTGAAGTAGTGAGCCCAATTAAAGCTCTCCTCTTTTACATAATGGATTTCCAGTATTGAGTTGATGATAATCAAACTGAATGCACATAATATCATACATCCCTGGCATATTTCCTCCATGACAGCAGTTAGGGCCATAACTATAGGGCAAAACCATGAAAGAATGTCATGACAAAAATTTTTTGAGATGAGAGATTAGGAAAATAATGATAGACAACACATTGTGAAATTGTGCTGGGTTTTAGTGCTTTTTGGTTTTCCTATTTTTAGCCATGCTTTTTACATGACTTCTGCAAAATAGTAATAATTTCCTACAATTGCATTTAATGTAGTTTTTTGGCAGTCGCTAAAGCTAAGGGTGTAGGGAGGAGAGGAAGTACTCCTAAATTGGAGAAAGAGTTCTGAGTCTCAGGAGGGAGAGATTCAGCCTAGAGATTCCTACGCTCTCCCTGCAACTCTGAGTCACACACTCTCAAAAATCACATGGTCCATCTGTTTAGAAAAATAAAAGGTATGACTAACAAGCCCTTTGGAAGTGCTAAAGTATAAAGATATCCCTCCTCTTTTCTCTTTCCAAAGGAAGTTAGATTTTTTTAAAAACTAAAATATTTTACATAGAAAACTTAAACAACAACCCTCTACTAGCTATCAGCAATGAAACCAAATTAACCAATATTGGGGCCCTCTCTCGTTGGGAAAATAGAGCTTTCTGGCTGGAGACGGCCCTCCTGTGTCCTCACTGCTACCTCAGTTTCCGCCCAGGCCCCCGCCTCCGGCCCCCGTACCCCGATTCCCTGTGGTTGTGAGCTGTCTGTGAAGCTCCACTCCCTTCCTTTTCCCAAGTCATAGTTACAGGAATTATTGCAAGATTAACTCTCTCGGATTATATTTCATTCAACAGAACAACGACCCAAGAGTTTTGGCTTCTGGAACGAGAATAAAAGATTGTCTACAAAATATTAAGTTCCTTGGAAAGAATCTTTTAAGGCGATTTTGGTGTTGGTAAAAAGTGTCAGATCAGCAGCCACAAAGTCTGAGTTTATGTTTATTCACCAAGCAGGTAAAGAGTCACAATACTGTACAAATATCCCACCAATCTACAGGTCTATTTCCAGCAAATAGGATAATGCAAATTCCATGTAAAAAGGCCGTTCCTTGCTCATTTTCATGTGGTAATTTGCACACTGTAACACGGTGTCTCAGAAGCATTTCCACATGACTTGTGTCACTTAACTATTTTTGTGAATATCTGAAAGAGTGATGATCATGATGTATAAACACACCTCTTAACCTGCTTAGCTAAAAGTGCTTATGTCCTTTTTTAAATTGATAGAGCTTAATTTTTTAGCAGTTTTAGGTTTACAACAAAATTGAGTTATTTATGTCTCTTTTAGAGCAATTTTTCTTCTTAAAAGCTACAGTGTGTTTTGCTAAGATGAAAGTAACTTGTTTTGCAGAGTGGGAGGTGATGTTAGAGAGGGTAAGCATGGACCCTGGAACCAGATCCTAACTCGGCCCTTATCAGCTCTGTGATCCTTGGTATGTGAATTCCTTATCCTTTCCTCTGTCAGTTTTCTCATCTCTAGAAGGGGAATAACAGCAATAGTAAATAGTGTAATATCAAAGGGTGTAAGAGTGAAATAACAAAAGTAAGTGCCTAACGCAATGCAGAGCACAAAGTGAAAGCTTTAGAACTGTTTGTTATATTCCAGTTCGAACTATACCTTGGGAGGCTAAAAAAAAATGCTGCATCAAGGTGTAAACCTACTCGGGAATTCTATTCTTCTGTATGTGTTTATGCTACATGAGGCCTTTTATGTTAGACTAAGGAAATAGAAGGTTTTTGTGACTTAAACAGAAGCAGTGAATTGGAGACATCTGGTTTCCCACCCAGCCTTGTTAACTGAGTTTTTGATCTGCCCTGAACAGATGGAATCAGAGAGAAAAGCCAAAAGAAAATTGAGAGTCAGCCTCTGGGCCAGAACAGGGTCATCCCTAGCAGGGCAGAATGGTGAAGAATAGCATAGCACTGGAGGATGCCCCACTGCTACCACAAGGGCCCAAGTGGACCACGACAGGCACCCAGAGGAGCCCGTCACGGCTGGCATTGATGCAGTCTCATAAAGTGCAAGGCAGCCTGGACACCACCAGCACGGAGCAAGGGAACTCTGCAGGGGACTGTGGTCCAACACGACTAAGTGTAAACAATTACAGGCAGCAGATGTTAATGCAAGATGGGCATCTCATCTCCACTCATGGGCAAGAAACCCAGGAACATCTGTGTCCTCACCCAGGGCGGGGCGCTCGCTGCACATCGGCCATTCGGAGTACTTTTCTCCACCCTTGGTGGAAGAAGAGGAGCAACAGAACAACATGTAAGCACAGTATCGTGTGAGTGTGTGTGGAAGGGAGCTGAAGGGAAAAGGGAGGATGGCAGGCTAAGGCACTGGGGGAGGGAGAAAGAGAAAGAACCAGAAAAAGCCAAGATTTATTTGCTAAGAGGACATTTGAGAATCTTTCTCCCATGTCCCAGCCAGAAGATTTTAAGACCAGGAACATAAAAGCACCTGGTGGATGCCAACTGATTATAGCTTCAGGGAAGACCAGAAAATATCTTCATTTTCTTAGGGTTTTTTTTTTTTTTTTTTTTGGTAACCAAACACAAAAGAGAAAACTTTAAGTAGGTGCCTGAGTCATAAGATATATGGAATGTTTGACAAGTTGCTTAATTCTACAAAGAGAAATTCAGAGTAATTCATAATATAACTTTTTCAGTTTCCAGCTTGGAAGAGTTTTGAAATTCTATAAACAGGAATATAAGAACTATAACTTTTATGAAAAATGCTAAAGGCTTCCCCAGACACCAATTAATACAATTATATATCTGTGACTTCAGACTTTAAAAGGCAGTGACTTAACTTCAAGGGACAACTGTTTTCCAATTCTTCAGCCTCCTTTCCTTTGAGTAGCGCTTTGTGGATACAAATATAACCCTCCCAGAGTGACTGAGTCTCCCAGCATCCTGCTTAGAGAAGCAGATGAGCATTAACCTCCTCCTGTTTCTTCTTTCTGAAGGAACTTCTTAGCACATCCTTTAAAGATGAACTTGCCAGTGCTTTAGAACTCTTCACAAATTATCCCACTTCGTTAGGTGAAAGAGCTGAATATGCACAATTTCTTACAAATAAATCACAAAGTCAAAAAGGCTAAAAAGTTGGTTTTAAACTTCTTTAAGAGAAAAATAAGGCAGTTTTTAAAACTCACCATTTTCTATGTTTTCTTCTTTAGTCGAACCGTAAAGCCAAGCATAGTAAAAAAAAAAACCAAAGTTCAGTCTATCTTGAAGTGATTTAGTTTGTATCAGGAAGGAAAATAACAGCCAGCTCTCGAAGGGGAAGAGGAGCAGGGCATGGTGGCATACACACCCATACCCCCTCTCGTTGGGAAGCTGAGGCAGGAGGATCAGGTGTTCAAGGCCAACCTGGACAACTTAGTGACTTAGCGAGAACCTATCTCAAAATAAAACACAAGAAAAGGACTAAGAATGTAGCGACGGCCCTGGGTTCAGTCGCCTACTACTGCAAAGGGGCAGGAGCAAGTGCAGGGGTGGGGAGAGAAGGCACCTTTAAATGATTTTTCAGCTTCGCCTCTCCCCCGTGTTAAAGGGCCCCTTTTCTCACTTCACGCAGAGCTACAGATTCTTTGGCAAGTTCACCTCTCATAGATGCTTTAAGTGGGTTTGTTGAAATTAAGCTCACATAAGCACTGCTGTGAAATCTATATTCAATTGAAATAATAAATTTAAAGTGATGAGGTAGAAATAATTATTTCTTATTCTATATTACGCTCCATTCAGTCAAATGGTCACTTAGTATTTTTGCAAGCCAAAAGAAGGCACTCTAGAGAGTAGATCTGTCCTCTCAGACTCTGGGACTCTCGGTCAGTTGATAACTATCTTATGTCGTGGTCAGGAGCCTCAAGAGTCACTGTCCATTCCTTGTGCATGACTCCACACAGCTCATTGCATGTACCAGATGCAATTACATATGCAGGTAAAAGACTACAAAGGCCTTTCATTCCATCAGATAGCAGCACTCTCTGTCCCTGAGCTGGGCTCTCAAGTGTCCATCCTTCCTACTAAGCTTAATCCTTCCACTGCCCTAGATCTCATTCCCTCTGACCAGTCTTCTGCGGAATCTTATTTTGACTATCACACACTAAACTGCCTGATCTCCAGTAGAGCCTTCTTTTTACCAACATGTAATTTATACCTGAGTCGTTTCTATTTAACAAGGCCCCCTCCTTAGCTGCTAGACTACCTTTGCTCCCCATTCACATCTAGACTTGGGTTATCTGTGCTCATGCCACCAATTGCTTTACTTCCTTTTTCATCTCTATCATCAGTCCATTGAAGTTGCTTTTGCCGAGGTCATCAGTGTTTGCTGTATCATACTGTATCATTTAACCCAAAGGACTCTTGGCATGTTTCGGCTGCTCCCCACCCCCTGCCCCGTCCTCCTCGGGGCTCTTCCCTGAGCTTCCTGACACCTCTGTCTCCAGAGGCTCCCTCCTACCTTCTGGGATCTCCACCCCAGTTCCCTGCATTTTGTACACTGTCCTGGACAATCTCATTGTTATAGGCAACTGAGGTAGGTAGAAATATCAGAAGCAATCAGACAGGGCTGGGAAGCAACCAGTACAGAAGACCAGATACCCTGAAATTGTGGGCGAGACAGATACCTCTGCTGTGGGCCACACCTCAAGACAAAAGATAAAACAAAGGCACCCACATACTTCCTAAGGGATTGGTACTCTAAATAGGTCTCTCACCCCAATGAAGCCACGAGCCACTAACCCCCTACAGGAAGGGCCACTGCTCTATATACATGCCTGCTTGCTATATGACTTGCTTCCCCATTTGTTCCAGATTTAATCAATTTTACCTGAGCAGTTAATCTTATTGATTGGCCATAGTTCTGTTCCATGTCATGCCCACCTTGCGAGTTCCCATCTTTTCCCCACCTTGGGGTTTTGCTCTATAAAATTCCTAGAAAAGACAGCACAGTCCTTGACAACCCACTTGGGACTCCTTTTGTCTCTCTCAGACAGAAGCTTTCTTTCTCTCAATAAATATATTCTGCTCTTAACTATTGTTCCTAAAATTCATTCTTCATTTAGAGAACACAAACTTGTACCGGACATCTAGTAGGTTGGGAGTTTCTTTCCCCTATATCATCAGCAATCCTCAAATCTTAATATATTAATTCTCACTAAATGCTGACAACCCTCAAATGTCTCTCTCTCTGCAGAACTCCTGAACTCCAGCTTTACACGTTCAATTATCTTTGAGTAACCCAGTTTGAGGTGTCATGATTCTCAGCAGCATGTCCAAGATAAAATTGGTCAGGGATATTTTCAACTGTACCTTCTACACAAAAGCCTTCAATGTTTGCCCCTTCTACCCTAAGTAAAACCTAAGGCATTATACTGCCTGTAAGGTTTTCTAAAATCTGATTGCACGTTTGACCTCCCAGACCTTGTCTCCTATTACTCTTTCCCTGACACATCCCACTCTAGGCACACTGACCAGAACATTCCTAAGGCCAAGTCCTCTGCCATTGCTCTTCCTCTGTATGTTGTTCTTGCATCAATAAGCACCCCTTGAGGACTAGTCTTTGATAAGACTTTTCCCTCACAGCCCTATTTAAAATCGCAACCTACCCACTAACCAAACATTAATATACTCTCTACTCTCTTTCTGATTTCTTTGTTTTTATATGGTAATATTTGTTGATATTTGTCATACTATGTACTTTATTGTCTACTTTCCTCCACTAAACTATATACTGTTTCATCACTATAAGTGGTAGAGCTAGAATTTGAACCCAGATCTGTACAACTCCAAAATCCTTGTACTTTTATTATTCCATAAGATGACATAAATTTAGAGTAGAATGTGTTATAAAGAATTACAATATAAATAAACTTAAAGTTAGTTTAATCCAATACTAGGTGTGACAGCTCATAAATATATTTAGTATTAATCAATTCATGTATGTCAACATGATAGAAGTGAATGCCAAATTTTAAAATAATTTGCTAGATATCAACAGTAGAGCCATGATCTTCATAAAATATATGTCTTATTTTTACCAACAATGACCAATGTCTAAGCCTACTTTTAGTACTCTAGCTTCTCCCATTGAAAGATACAAGAATAAAATTATGCCATCTCTTTATTGTGCTCTTTGATTCTTTTTAAATGAATGAATAATCAGAAATGAGGAGAAAATATAAACAAGCTCTACTGCTCACTCCCATTTCTAGCACATAAGGAAGTAGGTAGAAGGAGGCTAATGTCAATAAATTGTAACTTTTATAATATAATTCCAGAAATACGTCACTAAAGGAATGCACATATGCACGAAAACTCTGATTTTTCACTTTGTTACAACTAATGTGGTCAGTGAAAATGATTTGTAACTTGGACCTTAGTGAAATCTATTGACTCACTTCTTATTACTGGTAGGAAGTCTGCGTAAATGAGAAAAAGAAGAAAAGCACACACAAAGATTTTTCAGAACAGTACAAAAGTAAGAAAATGGGTAAGTAAATTATGGTGGGTATAATCATACTAGAAAATATTTCAAAGTCTAGATAAGTTCATAATATGAAATCTTTCTAAGTGACATGGGAAATTCTTATTATATTAAATAATAAAAAATTAAACATAGTGTTATGAGTCAGGAATTTTTCTAATGGCTTTACATGTATTAACTAATTTAATCCTCACAAGAAATCTACGTGGTAAACAATATTACCATTTCCATTTTACAGATAAGAAAATTTCAGCCCAGAAAAGTATGGACTTGCCCAAGATTCTCAAACTTGTAATGTGACAGACTCAGGTTTAAAATTCCAGATCTAGCTCTGTACATGCCACACTTCACAATTTACACAGCAAGTAAAACTTTAAAGAGACTATTAGTACAACTATATGAATATATGTCTTTAGTATAAAAAGAAAATAATGGGTAGAAAGGTAACTGATTGTATGGAAAATTGTAAATGTCTTCATTACAATTTCTGTTCCATAATTTTATAATGATCATGTTTTATGTTTATAACTCACAGAATAAGAAACAGTATTATGAAAGTAATGAAGAAAATTTCATGTTTTGGACTTGGTTCAACTGAGTAATGGTCTTTAAAATTCACATACAATAGTCACATATGATTTCCACTAGTCAAGTACAGGCTATGGGGAGAAAAGACAATTTGAAGAGGACCACAAAGATTATCTAACCCAGTGCTTCTTAAAGTGTGGTCCCCCAGAGCAGCAGCAACCTGTGTTTTCACACCCTTCCCGTGATCCTGATAAACACTGAGTTTTGAGAACCATTGATCCAGGCATGTGGGTCTCTGCCATGGCTGTATATTAGAATCACCTTGGTTTGAATTGTTTGTTTGAGACTTAATGCCTGTTTTGAACCACCAGATATCCTAGTTAATTAGTTTTAAGTGAGGCCATCACTATTTTTAATTTCTTCTGGTGCAATTTAACCAGAACCACTAATTTAGGCTGAGTGAGTCCTTACTTCTACTCAGTGCATTGTCCTTAGAACCTTTTAGAAAGGTACGGCACGAGGCCCAACTCTGGTCCTACTGAATCAGAATCTGTATTTTAATAGGATCCCCAATTGATGCCTATACACATTTAAAAGTGCTAGAAGCATTGACCATTTCCCTCATTTTATAGAGGAGGAAAACCATGCCCAAATGAGTTAACATGCTCTTATAAAGTCTCATTGCTTGGGGGAAGGGATGAGGAAACAGAAAAGTCGTATTCAAATACAAGATGCTCAAAACTAGCTTAGATTGTGTTTCTTCTCCATATTGCAAAGTTTTAATTTTGAAAGCTTTTTCTCCTGTTTCCCTTATCTCCAAATGTTTTTTTCTCACAGAATACCTAAAGTTTGATAATGCACAAACGCCATGTCATTCTCTAAAGAAATTTAGGGTCGGCAGAGGGAGGCTTAGAAATTAAGTACCTGAAAGCCAGTAACTGGCCACAGAGATCTCCAAGGACTGCTATTCAATCCAAGATTCTATGACATCTGCACCCCAGCCTTGAATAGAAACCAGAATGCTGGTATCCAATGCAGTGAGAATTTATTTCATAGTTATCAAAGCAAACCAAAGGTTATCAGTGGGTTGGACATTTAAAGATTAAGTACAGCTGATCGCACTCAACTCTTATGCAGGTAGCTTAACTTCAGTGGTTCTGGTCTCTCTCTGAAGGGAGAATGGAGGTGTTTATGATTCTGTATCCTAATGGGTTCCAGGTGACCCAGGCTAGGCGGCTGAGTCAGACCCTCTCTTCTTTGATTTACATGGCAGGATCCAGGCCATCCCTAAATTGAAAAGATATAGTAATGAGCAAATACAGAAAAAGAAAAGAGGAAAAAAGAGCTGAGGGAAAACCTGGAGTGCTTTTCCAAGTCCAAAGTGAGCTATGGCTGCCCTCTCTGCCTCAGAAGGTATGATCATAAATTACTAGCTAATGTTTAGCGCTGGGCCTCTGGCCCATGATATATTACAGAGGACAAGATGCCTCCAAGCAAAAAACACTGTAATTGGGGAGCAATAACATCTGTGTCAGTTGTGAGACTGCAGTTAAAGTGAACTGAGAAGTTACAGGCTGTGCTGCAGATGCATTGTAATAATATGCACATTTATTTTTGCTAAGATGATATGTCATCAAGATATGAACCTCTTTAAATTCTTTGGTGTCATGATAGCCTGAGGAGTTGGTAGGAGACCCAGGTTTCTGTTTTAACATTAGCACTATGTTAGCTAACACCTCAAGAGAATTACAGTGTATAAAGTAAAAGACTCTGAGGAGTTCAGAATGTGGGCTTAGTTTCCTGGGTCTTAGTTTCGAGGTCTTTGCAATGCTCTGCTGTATTTTGCAGGTCACCTCATCTTTCTGAGCCTCCTAATCTGGCAAGGTCAAAAGAGTCATACATGATAGACCTGGGACTCAAACCCAGATCTTCTGGCTATAAAACCTGTCATCTTGCCCATGTACCTCTGTGTGTGATAACATTGCTATTTAAGGAGTTAAAATATGAGCAGCCCCTCCGTTATTCAGGGATGGAAATGTGTGCAAGTTTCTTTTGCTCTTAAAATCAGAAGAAAAAAGAATAACCTCCTTGTTACTTTCCATTTAAAACATTATCCAGTCACATGATAATAGCTAAACTATCTAAATCACCTAAAAACATTCATGGTAGCCTAAAAAGATCTAAGTTGAATTAAAAATTCTGCTTAGATACATCAGCTCCTGCAGTCCTGTTCAGCTCTGATAACTGATGATGCTTTGCTGCAGAGACCTAGTGGACCCAAAGTCCACATTTGACTTCAAAGTGGTGGGCAAAAAAATCTACCTTTTCGTCAAAGGGTGATTACAATTTTTCAGTATTCCACTGAGAGTCCTATGTTTCAGGACCGAGTCCCAGGCAGGCAGGGATCTCCCTTCTTATTACCACACTGTGTCTTCTTAACCCCTGTTCAAACCAGTGCAGTGGTCTTAACCACATCCTCCTGCCCACTGCGAAGCCTGTTACTCTCTCTGCATGTTGAGCAAAGCTTCTCCCACTTTCATTCCAACCCGCACACCTTGGTGAGTGTCTGGGTTTGTTTCTCTGGCTAGCCCTCTTGGCATGCTGCTTAGGTGGACTATTCATTTGGTGTCACCACAGAGAGAACCTTCAAGCCTCCCTGCTGCATTCTTCTGCCAGGCCAAGTTATGAAACTTGGTTGCTGGACCACTTCCCATCAAGGACAGGTGTACTGGGTCAGCCTTAGACTATTGCTGCTGCCTAGTCCTGTAGCCAATGTATGATTTACTCCACTATCAAAGCTACCATGCCAGTTTCCTAATGTCATACAACTGTCACACATCACTTCTATCTTTACCAAAGCTGGTCATTTATAGATATATGCTTTCCGAGGACCTGAATACACCCTTTTCATAAATTTGTTTTCTTGTTGACCGACTAAAGTTGCCTTTTATCATACCCGCTTCTTATATGTTAAAATGCTTTATTTATTACTTGTTAACAATAAATTACTTCTCTTATTAACAATGAGTTCTTATTATCAGAAAATCCTGTAGCGTAAATAGACTTATCCCCAAGAGTCACAAGAACACAAAGTGTAGTAGATTAGAAATCTCAGTTTTGAAATTTGTTGGCTTATTTTAAACTAAAGTTGTTTGCATTTTATACTTATATTTCAAAAGATGCTGGTTAAATTACATGAAATAGATCAATATTAAGCAGAGAGCCTAAAACCATGTGTCCAAAATATCTCTTTGATATTACCCAAAATTAGGGAAATTCCAAAACCAACCATTAATGTAATTTATTTTTTTAAATTAATTTATACTTTGCCTTACAGCAAAAGGATCTGAAGAGTCTTCCAGAAAAATGCACAATGCATTCAAGGCTCTTACTTTGCCTCATACACTGAGAAAGAAGTCGGTAGAAGAGAGGAATCTAAGGTCTCCAGCTGAGCCCATTTTAAAACTGCTGTGAGATTCTGATACATTCATCCATCTGACAAAAATGCTGGAGAAAACTTCTGCCTGTGACAGAAACTTTTCCTTGTCTATCCAGTGTCTATTCTCTCCTTCCATCCTAACAGAATGACAGCCTTCTTTTAGACATTCATTCATTCTCTCTTGCATCCAGGAGTAACCAATGGGACGTAAGTGAATGCATGCGTATGTAAAAGGGCCTCACTCAACAGGGAGGGACAACTCTGGGACCTTCTGCCATCCCTGTTTCCTCCTTTCTGCCTAGAATATGTCACATTGCTAGAGTTAGCAGATAAGAATACAGGTTGTCTAATTAAATTTGAATTTCAGACAAAAACCAAAAATAATTTCTTACTGTAAGTTTGCCCTGTACAGTTTGGGACACATTAATACTAAAAAATTAATTATTATCTAAATTTCAAATTTAAGTGAGCATCCTGCATTTTATGTATTTTATCATGTCCCTATGAATGTGACTGTAAAGACTGATGCTCTCCCAACCCAACAGAAAGACAACTTATTGATAAAAGCTTCATATTAAGGAATATATATATATATATATATATATATATATGCCCAATCACTAAAGCCCAGAGAGTGCCACACTATTCCCAGGCTACTTCCCTTGGAGCTTTTTCTTGAGACAGAGATTTATCTATTATTTGGATTTGTTGCATGTAGCCAAAATCAGTCCCAACTAGTAAACTTCCATTTCCACATTCCTTTTTCTTCTCCAACCTCTTTCATGGTTTTTTCTCTTCAGTGACAATTTATATGCATTTTAGATTGATATTACTAATTGGAGGAGGAAAATAAATTCCTATAGTACATGACTCCTCCCTGTAGCTTGAACTAAGGGTAGAAATACAAAAATAGTACCTGAAATCCTCTAGGCAAAGAGTACCTGAGGTCTCTCAAAAGACCACCAACCAATAAAGCAAACCAAATAAAGAAAAGGTCATCATGAATATCTTGTATTTGAGGAGGTTTGCTTTGGGAAAGCTGTGAGATTAGATAGAGATAAGGAACATTAATGAGATTCTATAAAGAAAATATATTAGAAACATACGATTTTATTTTATCTCTGTATGACATTGTGCATTACATTAATAACTGATGAATAGTTAACATATATCAAAACCATGCTAAGCATTTTATACATTTTTATATACATAAGTATTATATAAGCTTAATGCTTAACCTATTAGGTTGACATTATTTGTAGCTATATTTTGCATGCAAGGATATGAAGGCCCAGAAAGAAAAAAGAAACTCCTTCTAGATCAAAACTCATGGAAGATGCATAGCAGAAATTTGAATCCAGATTCTTAGCTCCAAAGCACAGATTCTACAACTTTAACTCTTGATACTATATTATAAAATATTGTAAATTTAAAATACAATACATGCAAAGAAAGATACTTAATCTGATGTACTATGTGTTTTTTTAAAGCAAAAGAGAGTTTTAGATGATTTAATGATAAAGAGATGATTCTTGAGGAGGAATTAAGCTGACCAAGATTTGAACATCATATAATGTACACGTTTTAAAACATTACATGGTATTCCATAAATATGTATAATTTTTAGTATTAATTAAAAACTTTTAAAACATGTATAAGAAGAACCAATATAGTGAAAATGGCCATATTCTCAAAATTAATATAAAGATTTAATGCAATTCCAATAAAAATACCATTAGCATACCTCACAGAATTAGAGAAAACATTCCTAAAATTCATTTACAACCAGAAGAGACCTAGAATAGCAAAACAATTCTGGAAAGCAAGACAAGGTGATCACAATCTCAAACTTGAAATTAAACCACAAAGCTACTGTGATAAAATCAGCATAGTACTGGCAATCAAACAGACCTGATAATCAATGGAACAGATTAGAAGATTCAGACACAACTACAAACACACTCATTCACCTTATCTGTGACAAAGGGCCTAACATGTTCACTAGAAAAAAAGAGCCTCTTTAATAAATGGTGCTAGAAAAGCCGGCTTTCCACATGCCAAAGACTAAAACTAGACCCTTGTTTATCACCATGCACTAAACTAAAATCAAAATGGACCGAAGATCTAAATATTAAAACAGAAACACTAAATCTATTGGAAGAGAAAATAGATAGAAATCCTGAAAACATAGGTGTAGGCAGAGACTTCTTGAACAAAGTCCAGATCACACAGAAAGTATTACAAAGAATCAACAAGTGGGATCTCATCTTATTAAAAAGCTTTTGCACAACAAAATAAATCAACAAAGTGAAAAGAGAACCCACAGAATGAGAAAACATTTAGCCAGTTGTCCATCAGACCAAGGACTTATATCTAGAATTGAAAATAATCAGTTCCCCCAAATTCAAAGACCAGTCTAAAAGTGGGCATCTAAGATGAATACACACTTCTCAGAGAAAGAAATATAAACAGCAAATAAATATATGAAAAAAAAAGATCAACATCACTGTCATTAGAAAGATGCAAATTAGAACAACTGAGATTCTATCTCACCCCAAAAAGAATGACTTTTATCAAGAAATCAACCAATAACAAATGTTGGCAAGGCTGTGGTGAAAAAGGAACACTTCTCCACTGTTGGTGAGAGTGCAGACTGGTACAACCTCTATGGAAATTCCTCAGAAAATTAGGATTATAGGCCCATTTTTACCCAGCTATTCCCCTTCTAAGTATTTTCCTGAAAGAATTAAAAATAATCATACTACAGCTATATATATATATATATATGTGTGTGTGTGTGTGTGTGTGTATATATATATGTGTGTATATATATATATATATATACATATATATATCCATGTTTAAAGCAGCATAATTTGTAATAGCCAAATATTGGAAACAACCCAAATACCCATCAAGTGAGGAATGGATAAAAAAGATGTAGTTTTTTTATACAGTGGAATACTACTCAGTTATAAAGGAGTATAAACTTACATTTACAGGTAAATGGATGTAATTTGAGATCATATTCAGAAATGAAATAAATCAGACTCACATGTATACGTATCATATTATCTCCCTGGTGTGAGAAACTGAAAGAGTAAACAAGGACCAAAATGAACAATATACATTGTGAAGTGGGAAGAAATTGTTCAAAAGGTAAGAGGATCTGGGGAGAAGAAAAGGAAGAGGAAGGGAAGGAAAAATACATGTTAGCAATACTACTGGTTTCTCCTAATTCATTGAAAAGAAAGGTTTATGCTAATATCATTTGGAGAATTTTTTGTGCCCATATCTTGTACTCTGAGTAACTACTTTGAAGATAGCAATACACAATGTGTTAACCATTGTTAGACTCCTATCATTTTGTTATGAAATTTTGTTGTATTTTTTCCATAAGTAAAAAATTCCATAAAATTAAAAGCAAAAAATAAAAATGAAACTATAAGAAACAAAAATTATCTGTGTATTGAAATGATATGCAACAGAGCTCATGAAAAAATACATTATTGGTAACAATGCCCCAGACCAATGTTGTAAATATCTGTGTTTCCCTTTATTAATGTAAAAAAACAGGAAAAATGTTGTACTGTCTTAAAAGTAATATTAATAAAAGAGAAAAACAGTCATACATACTCAATTTGTAGGTTTAAAATATAATATTGCACTGATTCCATTTTATTTGATAATTATATTTCAAAAGACATTTCAGGAACCACTTCAATCTTTTTTACTCACACACACGGAATCTATCTATCTATCTATCTATCTATATTTATATCTGCATCTGCATCTATCTACATATAGATAGCACTTACATGTAGATAGACAGTGGCTCCTCAACTTGTGATGGGTTTTTGTCTCAGTAAATAAATGATAAATTGAAAGTATCCCAAATTGAAAATGTATTTAATATACTTCACATATAGAACATCATGGCTTAGCAACACAGTTTCACTATACAGTAGCATTTATTTGCTTTCATGATCACGTGGCATATCATTAGTGCCAGGAAAGGTTAGAATTCAAAATTTAAAATATAGTTTCTGCTGAAATACATATAGATTTTGCACTATGTAAAATCAAAAAAGTCAAACAATTGTAAGTTAGGAACTGTCCATATGTGTCTTCTGAACCAAGGGTGAAAAAAATGTAACTTCACAGGCAAAAGAAAAAAGCACATGTTAAATGGTGTCCTGCTTCCCAGCATCCTGCACTTAAGCTCCACAGATGAAAGGATGCCCGAGCTTGGACTCAGCTCCCTTCTAAAAATAGCTAAAGGCACAATACACAGCACCAGGTTTTATTAAACTGGTTGTTACTCTGAGATCTTCTTACTGAGGGGGCAAACTGATGTCTGGGAAGCAAGTGAGTTTAGTGGGGAAAAGCACATGAGGAAAAATTAAAGTTTCACCTTAAGTTATCTGGGCATCACATGTTGAATCTTTTCTGCCAACTTGTTCTTACTATGCAAACTTTCCATTTTTAAAGGTCTTGAAACCAAAGATTGGTCAAACCCACAACATAGACTCATTTTGTTGTAACAGACGTTTTACTGTGACTTAGCTTTAGCATATCTTGAGAACGTCTGCAAAATTCGAGCCAGACTTGGCCTCCTTGGACTCACAGACACAGGCCATGATGGTTAATATGATGAAGAGCACCTTCTAAAGATTGCTGAATCACAGGAAATACACAAACTAAGCAGGAAAAATGTGCCCTGGATTTTTCCACGTAGTTCACCTACTGCAATCGGGGGTGGTTAGGTTTTCATGAATAGGGCACCCAAGGAGAATAGCTAATAACAGACTGATCCAGAGTTGAGAAAGAATAGCATGGCATGTTGCCCCAGGCATGAATAGATGACATAACAAAGAAAGAGGAAAAAGAAACAAGGAACCCAGAGTAATGGGGAGACCGGGGCTCACCAGCCAGGCGTCTGGTAAACTTTGAGTGTGGGAACTTTTCCCAGCCTCTGAGACACATATTGTTGTTCAACAATGGCACAGCAGCTGACGTTGCAAAGTCTCTATTTCAAAGCAGAAAGCAGCAGAGGTGTTCTGCTGCTCCTTTGGGAAATCCTGGAAAGTGCCAGCCAGCTTGCATTATTGTGAAACATGAAGAAAAATGCTCAAGCTCTGCACTTAAAATAGACGTGGGCCTGGGTTAATAGAATCTGGGGGGCCTGTGGCAGGGTCATGTAGTAAAATTTGATCTGGACTGAGCTCTAGAGGACAGCAGTGAAGTCCCACTTCTGCCGCCAACTTAACAAGCAACTCCTGTCTAGTTCTCAGTGTGGCACTTATAAAGCAAAAAGGTTCTGCTCCTAGATTAATGCATCCATTTATTCAACAAGATTATTTAGCTCAAGATACATAAATGGATGCTTCAGAGATTGTACACTCTACCAAAAAAATAATGATAGACTATAAAAGAGGTAAACAAATAAATTTCCTACAATGATCAGGGTTGTTTTCAAAAACGATCATAGTAAAGGAAGGAGAGCAATGAGCAAAGGTGGACACTCTACAAGAAGGTGGTCAAAGAAGGCTGTTGTGAGAGGGAGGCATTAGTAGAAACTCCAAGGAAAAGGAGCCAGCCAGGTGATAATCTGGGGAAAGAATGTTCCAGCTAGACGGAACAGCCATACGTGGCCGTGAAATAGGAATACAGTTGACATACTGGGGTCCATCAAGGAACCAAATGAGTTGTGAGCAGGGAAAATGCTGACATGAACACAAAGGTCTGTACATGACCCAAGCAAGACACACACGTACTGAAGAGAAGACCAAGTATTTTCTAGAGTATTCTAAAAATTAGAAAATGTGAAGGGAAGGAATAGCAAATGAAATAGGAAAAGAAGGTGAATATCATGTCCTGGAAACCAAGGGAGGAAAGTGTTGGAGCAGGAGGAAATTCATCAGCTTTCCCAACTGCTAGGAAGTTGAATAAATATTGAAGATACCATTGGACTTGAAAACACAGAGGCCGTAAGTGACACTGAATAGTTCCAGTGAACTTCTGGGAACAAAATCCCATTCAAAGTGTAGTAAAAGAAAATTAAAGGTGAGAGATTCGGCAATGATTTTAGGAATCTTCTTTATGGAATTTGATCACGATGGGGAGAGAAAAACGGGCAACAAGTACCAAAAGGGACACATTTGTTAGGTTATCTTTAAAACAAAGCTATAATTTTTTTTTTTGGTCTTTTTCTTTTTATTGGTACCGGGGATCGAACTCATGACTGCCTGCCTGCAAGGCAGGTGCTTATGCCACTGAGCTAAATCCTCAGCCCCTACAATTTTTAAAACTAACTGGAGGAAAAAGAATTTTTTGGACAGAATCATGAACATTATTGAATTCTGGTTGGCATAAAATAATATTAAGGAATGACTATTGGTTTTTCTAAGAATAATAATGGGTTTGAGATCGTGGAGAAAAATTCCATAGGAGGTATGTATTACTAAACAATATCTAGGATTTTCTATAAAGTATTTGAGTAAGGAAAAGAAAATACAGGAGAAACAGATGAAACTTGATTAGCAAAATATAGTTGTTGAAGTTGAATAATAGATGTAAGGAGTTTATTATACATTTGTCTCTACTTCTGTGCATGTGTAAAAAGTTTTCTAAAGGAAAAAGGATGAGAACTGGCTATGCCATGGCAGCCTCCTCTTTCCACAGTGGTCCAGGCACGCTACCTCTCCCTGCTAGGATGGAATCAGAGAAGGCTGAGTGAGAAGTTTGGACTCTCACCATCCTCCTGAGAGCAGAGAGCCCCTTCTCTTCTTTAATGTTATTAATGCAGTGCCTCTCTCCTTGCCAACCACACTGGTTTTGGCAGACTCCTGGTAGGGAGTCTAATCCTTAAGCCTCCAGAAACAACAAAGCAGCCCCCCAATTTAAAAGGAGGCTAAATAGGAACTTTTACCTCCACCATAATGAGGTAGAGACCCCTTCCTCTGCTAGTATGGCACTAAAGGTATGCTAAAACAGAAGATTTAAATAAGATCCAGAATCCCATAGCATAATACCCAAAATGTCTAATGTGCAAATGAAGATCACTCATCATGCCAAGAACAAGGAAAATCTCAACTTGAATGAGAAAAGACAGTCAACACAGGCCAACACTGAGATGTCACAGATGTTGGAATTATCTGATAAGAATTTTAAAGCAGTCATTATAAAAATGCTATGAAGGGCAATTATGAAGACGCTGGAAACAAATGAAATAATAAGTCTCAAATAGTATGTACAAACACAGCAGGTCTGGGAAATGAGCTTGCAGAAAATTACCATCTTTCACATTGTTCACATTGAGAAACTCAATGTCCCAGAGTCAGGAGGCTTGAGTAAGTCTAGGTCCACAGCTGGCCCAGTGCATCACCATCCCTAGGGTCCTAGCTATTTTAACATATTACATATTTCCCAAAATTCAGGCAACTCTATAGCCTATTGCATCACTGAATGTTTTCCCAGCCTGCTCCCTGGAAAAAAGGATTGAGATTTTGGCATGTCACTTAGGTAGGAATGTGGAATCCAAAATAATCCTACCTCCTCAAGACTTAAGTCTTGATAGATTTCAAGATTTCTTTTGAGGTTTCATCATGCTTCTCCCTTCTCAGGAGTTAATAAACTCGACATTTATTCATATATCCAAAAACAGGTCATTTGGAACACACTCTAAAGAAATCGTCAAAAATGAATTATTGTACTAATACTACAATCATTTAGAAAAATGTTTGCATGCCTCTTATCAGTGCAACATTCATCAAAAGAATGTAGATACCTAGGCACTCCATGCCCAGCCAAAGCAGCCAATGCAGAGCCTGGCCTCGCAGCAGAGGTCCAGCAATCCCCAGTGCAATAGGAACAAAGGGGCCATTGCCTATTAGGAGGACTTTCAGAGGCCAGAGCCATGCACTAGCACTAGGTGTAGCTCACGGTGCATGGCCATATCTAAAACATGAAGTGAAGGGATTTGCTGCCTTCATAGGTCCTATCCTTACTGTTTATTCTAGGCTTCTATAGTTGTGACATATTTTATTGTCAGATTTATCCAAAGAAAATGTATACAGTAAATCCCCATAGATAGACATGTCATTTCTAGTGCATACTATTTAAAGAAAAAACTGTTTAATGAATACATGTTCTCCCTACATTTGCAAAGATAACAGCTGGATTCTCAGAAGAGAATTGCTGAATCAAAGAGGAAATCTATTTGTAAATGTGAAAAGTATTATAAGTCATCTTCACAGAGTGCCACATTGTCCCATAAGCAGAGTGTCAGGGGTATTGTATTATTTTGGGTCTGCTGTGATTGTTTTGTTGTTGTTCTTGTTGTGTTGAGAGAGAAGAAGGAGGAGGAGGAGGAAGAAGAAGAGGAGAAGAATTGGAAACAAGAGAAATACTCCCGGAGAGATGCTGTTATGGTTTGTATCTAGATGTCCCCTCAAAGCCTCATGTGGTCATAGGAAGGGCTTTCTCGGAGGTGGCTGGATCTACAGTGTCATTAATTCATGGTGCAATGCTGAGTGTGGGATTACTAAATCAATCCACTGATTGGTTTGGCACCACCCTAATCCCAATAGCCTAGATAGAGTATAAAAGGGGCTGAAAGATGCGATTAAGATCTCTTGCATGCTTTGCTACTTTCTGGCCACCATAAACTGTTCTCTGCCATGTGCCCCCCTGCCTTAGAGCCAGCCAATTATAGACTGAAACTTCTAAAAACTGTGAGTAAATAACTAGTGGGTGTTGGGTTTTTTTGTCTCAGCAACAAGAAAAGTACTAAGACATGCTTTTTGATAGCAAAAAATCTGTAAGTAAAATCCTGAATACTTTGGAATGTAAGTTATAAAGGGTACATTCAAAAGAAATTGCTGTAAAA